AAAAAACTTAAGGATATAGACAAACCCGAGCGCATGTTTATACAGGGTACGCCATCTAACTCTTTAGCCAGAGTTGAAACATATAGCGACACACTGTATGACAACGCGCCCGAACGTACACTGTCGTTCTTTATGAACGGGAACACGCGAACGCATATGGCCTGCGCTCTGCGGCAGCTGCCGTTCACTTTTGGCGTCATCTATGGCCAAGCAAGATAACGAGTCATGGCCGGTAGACAAGCACTGCTATATTACGTTCCCGGTGAGCGATATCGGGCAATTACTGCAGCCTGCGCCGTGGTCGCATAAAACGTTTGATATGTTGGCAGTGGACTACGCACTGCAGGCCTGAGTAGAGAGGGAGTGCAAACTAGCAGAGCTTGTCTACCAGCCATTACTCGTTTCTTGTTTTTTTAGGGGCGAAGCTCCTTAGGGCGTGGGCTGTGCGTCCCCTGTAGCCTGTATGTAGCCACCTCTAGTTTAGTTCTTGCAGTGTTCACTAGATGGCGGTACCGTCCCCTGTATGTAGCCACCTCTAGTTTAGTTCTTGCAGTGTTCACTAGATGGCGGTACCGTCTCCTGTATGTAGCCACCTCTCGTTTAGTTCTTGTAGTGTTTACTAGATGGTGGTACTTGTAGCTGATGATGAAAAGATGCAAGATGTTATAAACTAGAAAGCGGTACTTGTAGTTGATGAAAGACGCGAGATCTTATAAAATAGGAATGATGTCACATATGGCGCGTGTCATTGGTTGAAGGCAATCGTTCGATTTAGTGCGGCGACGTACGCTAGGGGGAGCGATGTAATAAAATCGAGTGGGCAAAATGTACAGAGGATTCATGGTTTACCAGGTTTACCTCCGGAGCTCCGCACACTCATCATCATTCACTTCGTGGATATGGCGGAATTTTTTTTTTTTTTTGCAACAGATGACGCTGAAACGTGTTTTCTTTTGCTGTCGGTTGATGGTGCTGTAGGCAGCCGCCGCAGAGCGCAGGCCACGCGTTCGCGTGTTCCCTTTCATAAAGGACGACAGTGTACGTTGGCAACTACTGCATGGAGTAAGAGACGTTACTTTATGTATTCTTCTTAATTAGACATTATCAATTAACCAACTTTCTCAGGAACGACGCTGGACAAAAATTCTAATTGGCAGGTGGTATAGATCTGCTTGTTGCAAAACACCCGATTCAACCGCTTCTAGCTTTCGAACTATTAAGCCCTCCTGTGTCTGCATGTCCACCATCTACAGGGTGCCCCAGCTATTTTTAGCCAGAGTTAAAAACTACGCCGACACACGCAGTGATGACGCGACCAAATGCACGTTGCTGACCATTGTCTAGAGTGAGCCAGACTATCTTTTGTGTTCTGATTAATTGCTTAATGAGGCCCCTTTAATTAAATAACTTTTGAACAAAATAGGACGGGTCGAAAATTCCAAATATAAAGTTGTAGATCAGAATGCAAAACGTCCGATTATACGATTTGGAACTTTATATCTGTTAACTATAGACGTTTTTCTGCTACTACAAATGCCCGCAAAATACAAAAATAATACCACATGACAAACACTGGTGCGCCTCCGCGCCATGATTCTGGTGCTCCCTAACGTTCCGCGTTCGAACAGTATACGCTTTTCCCTCGCACCGCGTCATGACAGCAATAAGCAGTTAGGGCGCGCTCACACTGAGCATCCCGGCCGCCGAAAGTGCGCCGAATCCGGTTCGGCGACTGCGAGATCCGCCGAAAGGGCCCTCCCCGCGCCGATCGCTCTCGGACCGAATTTTGCGGCGTCTGCCGCCGAATCGGTCACCACGGACCAATAGGAGCGCTAATCAAGGAATTCTGAAAAGAGGTGACCGAGCACTACTCCCTTGTCATGTCTCAGTGCACGTAACTGAATGTTGTAACCAACGGGAGTTTCACCCATTCTGTGCCTATACATCACGTCCCTATTTCGTGGAAGAGGTGACCGAGCTTGTCACGGTTTTGCAGAGCAAGACAAAACCACCAACACCGCTGGCATCGGCGGTTTTTTTTTTTTTTTTCGGCTCTTCATTCATTACAAGTCACCGACTTGCCAGTAAAGCAAGCAGTACTGCTTCTTCTTGCTTCCTGCGAACGAGAATCGTCGAGGCTTAGACCACTGGATAGCGTAGTGGCGTTTCCGAGCCGCGACAACAACCGTGTGACCGCGCATCCATGCCATGTTCACCCAGTGGCAAATGGCATATTCGGCGGCGCGGGGCGCGTTCAGTGCGAACGACGCAGCGTTTCGGCGGCAGGTGATTTTCGCGAAAGCGGATGCTTCAGTGTGAACTAGGGGTTACAGCGGTTATCGCTTTCGCGGCCGGTAGCGAAACGCGTTCATCGGAAAGCCACCGCAATCGTCACGACCTTGTCGAGACAGCACAATCGGGAAAATGCTATGGTCGTTCGTACGCAGAACGTTAGAGAGCACTAGAATCATCGTGCTCACTGGCACGCGAGCGAGCTTGTAAGATGTTTTTTTTTTTTTTGCGGGCATTTGTAGTTAGCAGAAAAACAAAGAATTAACAGAGATGAAGCTAGAAACTATATAGTCAGACGTTTTGCAAACTGATGAACAACTTTCTCATTGGAATTTCCGGTTCATTATTGTTGCTTAATATTGATTGATTGATTCGTGGGCTCTAACGTCCCAAAACCACCATTTGATTATGAGAGACGCCGTAGTGGAGGGCTCCGTAAGTTTACGTGCACCCAAATCTGAAAACACGGGCCTACAGCATTTTCACCTGCATCGAAAATGCAGCCGCCGCAGCCGGCATTCGATCCCGCGACCTGCGGGTCAGCAGCCGAGTACCTTAGCCACTAGACCACCGCAGCGGAGCTAATGTTGCTTAAAAAGGCCAATAAAAGTGGCCTAATTGAGCAACTAATCAAAACCCAAGAAACTAGTCTGACTCCCTCCAGGCAACAGTCAGCAACATGCATTTGAAAGCGGCGTCACTGCGTGCATCGGCATATTTTTAAACTCTGGTTAAAGATAGCTGAGGCACTCTGTATATACACACACATAGACGCAGTAACGTCTCAGACCATGCAGTTTAACTGCACAGCAGGATGCTCGAGTTTCCATTTATAGTCTGTCCTATAGTTCTGCGGTTTAACTATAGTTAAACCTTAACAATCGTACATTGCCCCGCAGTTGTATTTTACATTTTTGTTCGCCCTAAGATCAGCCCAAAGCCTCAGCGTCAAACGAAGCAAAAGCGCTGACGGCGGCCCGCAGATTTTTTTCTCGGAGCGCCCTTGCGATGCGTTTCCCAGGAAACGGGCCACACACACTGCGCGGTATACACCACGTCACAGACGAGACGGTCGACGACGTAGACATATATGCGCCGGGTCGATCGATCAAGAAACTAATCGATAAATTATAGCTTGATCAGGGCGGATAGGCGGGGGGGGGGGTCGAGGGAGCACGCCCTTTTCACCGCACTTCCATGGTTCGCAATAAATAGGTTGCTGCGTAGAATAATTGAGGCAGCAAGCATTTCGCCTACTCCATTATCCCTTGCAGCACATCGACTTAACAAATAAAAAAGGGTAAAACACCTAGTTGTACATGCGTATCTTACTTTTAACAGCGTTGATTAAGAAATCGATGAACACGATCGAGTTTGGCTACATAAGCTGTATCTCCATCACGACCTTTACTATAGAGTCGGCCCCGTGATGACATATATTGCATGAATGGACTGAAGTTGACAAGATTCAACAAAAAGCCGGCAGTTCTTTTTGTGAGCATGTCAAGACAGTAAGTGAGCAAAAAAAAAAAAAAAGACTAGCTCTCCTCAATTCACTGTATTCATGCATTTATAATTCAGAACATGATCACTTGCCAACCTCGTAAATCTATGTATGCAGGCCGACTATACATACAGGGCATTTACGTAACTAGGCACCAAATATATGTAACAGTCAAAGCACAATTGAATGAAACCGAGTACATATGGTTTGCCATCATGAGAGATATTTAGGTTAATTTTACATTATGTTTAATTACTAAGGTTCAATCAATCTAAGATTTTCAATATTCACTTTAGGACAAAGTACGTTTCCTTGCGTTGTAGAAGGCATTCCAAAATGAGAGATCCAATTTTTTTCTTTCGCGTATCAATCACGTATCAGCGTCTTAGTACAACAGCCGAATTTTTTCCCTCGTCCTATGCGTGTAAAGACGAAAGCCATGGCGAGCAAACACAGACTAAAAAAAAGAAAAACAAAAAACAAAAAAGACAAGCCATAGGGAATGCAAAGAAAGCATAAACTGCGCGAGTTTGGTAAATATATACATATGTGATCGGCGCTAGGGAACTTCGCTAAACGCGCTTCAACCACACAAATGCCTCAAAAGACTAGATAAAGAAAGGAAATTTGGAAGTCTCGTACTAAAAGTTGGTGTGGCGTGCGCATTTTTTTATACATAGTTTCCGCCGCATGCCGGCGGGTTCGCTAATAACGCTATCAAGAGGGACGGCTGAACTCACCCTCTATATATCTCATCCTCCTCCTTTCATTGTTTTTTTTTTTTGAGCTTTCACTTTAATAGAACACCGTTTCTGAACAATATAGAACGCGACAGGGTGTCCATATAAGACGCAACAGCAGCGGCTGATCGCGTCTCTCGCAATAATACAGTGGTTTTGGGACTTTAAAGCCCACAAATCAATCAGCGGCGGCTGATGAAGCCGCTACAGCACGGAGAGAATTTTCAACTGCGCTCTGCATGCGGGAAGGGCGAAGAGAAAAGACAATTAAGGAATGAAAAAGCCGCAGAACGCGCGCGGCCGAGGGTATTGAATGGACAAACCGAGGCCCGAGCGACCGTTAATTGCGACCTGCGCGCCGTCAGATATACGCGGGGATGGCGCGATTCCACGCGCAGCGACTGCGCTCGGCGTAATTACGCTGCGGTTCGGAGACCGCGCTGCAGCGCGCTCCTGTCACTCACCGATGTTGGGGTGGTTCAGCTTTCGGCAGATCCTCGCTTCGCGCTCCAGCTTCTGGAAGTCTGCGAGAAAGAAGAAGAAAAAAAGGAAAGGGGGATGCGATCAGGAGAGGCCACACGACTTGCAGAAAACGCAGCCACCAGTCAGCAGCTCGCTTGTTTGTTTGTTTGTTTGTTTGTTTGTTTGTTTGTTTGTTTGTTTGTTTGTTTGTTTGTTTGTTTGTTTGCATACTACGCTGCTAGAGCGTCCAATGACGGGGCAAAATGTCTTGCAGAATACACGAATACAGTAACTTATAAAAAAAAGATGCACCGTATTGATACGTTCACTACAGGGTGATGAAATCACAAAACAATCTTAATTGAGTACTCATAAGTTAAACGACAGGTAACGCGCAATATAGATAGGATAAAGTTAAAGAGAACAACTTAAACAACATGACACATTCAAGGCGTTACAGTCTTAAGAGCCAGAGCGCGTGTCTAATGCGAAGTGTCTTGGAATGCTGCTGCTACTACTACTACTACTACTACTACTACTACTAACAACAACAACAACAACAACAACAACAACAACAACAACAACAATAATAATAATAATAATAATAATAATAATAATAATAATAATAATATGTGGGGTTTTGCGGCCCAAAACCAGGATACGGTTAGGAGGCACACAGTATATAGAGAGCTGCAGAAATTTCGTCGATCTGCGTGTTCTTTAAGGTGCACTGACTTCGCACAGTACACAAGGGTCTCTACCGTTTTCGCCTACATCGAAATACAGCCGCCATGGCCGGGATTGAACCTATGACCTCAAGGTCAGGCACCAAAACCATGCGCCGAGCCACCACGGAGGCCTGTATCACTAAAGTCCGAAGCACTGTTCACCGACTGCAGTTCGACGTCCCACTTCCGAGACTCTCATGCTACAATTTAATCTAGAACACTTTGTTACGCCAGTGACAAGCATACGGGGCCCAGCAAAAGATACGAAAGCACACGCTATAGCTGATGCAGCGACATCTCTGCACCTGCAGGGGTGTAATGAAGAGAGGAGCACTCTGGCACGGAGAATACCCGCGAGTGTATAGATATAGTTCACAGGAGCACGGAAAGGAACCACAAGTGCACAATCAAAATTTTCAAGCTAGAGCACAAGTCAGGTGCGGTTACCGCGTGCATGCGCGAGCACACGTGCGCAGCGCCACGCAAACAAATAATGGTGGTGTACGAACACAAATGTCAGATGTATGCACTCAGGGGCAAGGAATGCAAAGTCACTATACATATACGGTATAGGATAGTTGAGGTAGCGGAGCAGTTCTACAGAGATCCGTACAGCAACCGAGACAATCAGGCTGCCAACGTAAAAAATCAGTGAACGCGTGAGGAGGAGACAGAAAACAAGGTGGGCAGATGAGCTCTTATGAAGTTTGCAGGTATAACGTGGCAGCAGAAGGTATAGGACAGCGTTGTTTGGCGGAACATGGGAGACGCCTTTGCACTGCTGCGGGCGTAGTGGAGATGATGATGGTGACGAAGACGAACACACATGTACCCGTGAAAAGAACACGAACAGACGCGGCCACTGTTGAAGGGTAAACGGAGCGGTTGACCGCGCTCTGCGGAGCGCCACGACGGGCGCCGTGCGAAGTATTGCGGCGCAAGCGCAATCAGCGCTAGAAGCGGAGTTAGCTGCGCGTCGTCTGCTACGGTGCCTCCCACGTCGCCTCGAACGGCGAAACCTAGATTGCGCGCGTGCGAAGTGGGAGGCACCGTAACAGACGACGCGCAGCCATCTACACTTCTGGCGCTGGTTGCGCTTGCGCCACAGTACTTCGCGCGCCGCCCGCTTGGTGGCCCATTAGCAGCCACGCGAGAACACTTGATAACTTTCTGTAAAGGGCTCCACCCTATATAGTCCAAGATAATGGCACGGATTTTTTTCAATGCTTTGGGGTTTAGGGACAGTGAAGGCAAAATAGACCTTAAACGGGTAGAAAATAGCCAGGAGGAGGCTAACTTATTGGTGGCTACAAACAAGGCGCGAGTGAAATTCAATCCTTCAACAGATAGTGATATACAGTACTTCACTTTATGGCTACGTGGCGTAAGCCGCCGCCCGATCTAAAGGGCACAGCCGGATCCATCCATCCATCCGTGCCGCGTTCCCTCTAACATTGGTCGCGACTGTACGTCCATCAGGGCGCAACTTCGCCGAACCCTTCAGACTGCAACTACAGTGTATTTGGAGGGTGGGTTGTGGTGCCACCATATACAGGATGCCCCCGCTATGTTTAGCCAGAGTTTAAAAATGTGCCGAAACGCGCAATTACGACGCGACCAAATGCATGTTGCTCGCCGTTTCCTGGAGTTAGTCAAACTATGTTTTGTGTTCTAAAATATTGTTTAATTAGATCTGTTTAACTAACTTTTGAAGGAAAGAACATGGATAAAAGTTTTAATGAGAAAGCTGTAGATGGGTTTGCAAAGCGTTCATTTAGACAGTTTTGAACTTTACATCTGTTAAGTATTATTGTTTTTTCTGTTATTACAAATGCCCGCAAAATACAAAAAAAATACCACGTGATAAACCCACTCGCGCGCCAGTGCGCACGATGATTCTAGTGCTCCCTAACGTTCCACTCACGAACGACACGCTTTCCTCGCAACAGTTCACGACAGCGATAAGAAGTCAGAGCGGTTATCGTTTTTGTGGCCGATAGCAAAACATGTTCATCGCAAAGCCGTTCCCATCGTTGCCGCCCTGTCGAGATAGGAGAATCGCGCAAATGCCATGGTCGTTCGTACGCACAACGGTATAGCCCCGCAGTTCACTGAACTGCACAAAGACTGAACGCGCAACGCTACCGTAGACATATACGCAAGACAACGGGTGGGTTGGTAAATGAGACGTTCCCTAAGCTTATTATTTCACATCATTACATTTGTTTAAAAGCTCAAGATGACGGGACCCATAAGTCTAGATGTAAAATCCTCGATACACATAAGACAAATTCGAATACGGCGAGAAGCTAAGTATAGCGGCGTATTCCATAAGAATGGGAAACATATTTTACCATGTAACGTATGATTTTGCGAGATTTCAACAACGTGCAAAAGGTACGCCGAATCCATCGCAGCGACGTGTTACAAAAAAGTGCCGCCACATCCACGAAGTGAATGATGAGGAATGGGCGAAGCTCCGGAGGTAAACCTGGTAAACCATGAATCCTCCGTACATTTTGCCCACTCGATTTTATTACAACGCTCCCCCTAGCGTACGTCGCCGCACTGAATCCAACGATTGCCTTCCACCAATGACACGCGCCACATGTGGCATCATTCCTATTTTATAACATCTCGCATCTTTCATCACCAACTACAAGTACCGCCGTCTAGTTTATAACATGTTGCATCTATTCATCTTAAGCTACAAGTACCGCCATCTAGTGAACACTGCAAGAACTAAACGAGAGGTGGCTACATACAGGGGACGCACAGCCCACGCCTTAAGGAGCTTCGCCCCTAAAAAAAAAAAGAAACGTGTTTCCATACATGTCTGTGAACGTCATGCGTGGCTATATTTAACCAGGCATATGGTACACCAGCACCAACAAAAAAAAAAAAAGGACGGCCAAACGACGAGGGGGTGGGGTGAAAGTGGGTATTGCGCAGATTTGATCATTCAAAAGATGATGAAGGGTAAGCGAGGCAGGAAAAGGAGCCATTTTCTAGGGCCGCGCACATTTCGTGAGCGTTCGGTGAAAGCGGAACAGCTCGTCATAGCTCCCAGCGAGATTTAAACATCAATCAGGCAGGTGGGGACACATACAGCGCAAAAACCTCGGGAAAACGGTTCTCAATATCGCCCCGAAACGGGCGCAGCAGATCGAGCGTGTCCTGCTCCACCTTGGAAACCTTAGATGCGTGTAGCGAAGCCGACAGCCAGAGATCGGCTATAGAGGTATACTTTTAAGCCGAATCCAGAAAATCTTTGAGCAACAGCTATTTGCGACAGGCCGTCGGCCCCATCCTGGCTATAGAGGTCGTGTACGGCGTATATCTTCGGCCAATCGCGCACGCGTCCCTTGCATGTGGAAAAGACCTCTCGGTGCATAAGCTGAGGAAGCACTAACTCACGGGATTTTCACGCGCCAAAGCCACGGTATGATTATGAAGTATACGCCATAGTGCAGGGGGACTCCACATTATATGTCCACTACGGCTTTCTTCGAAAACATATGAGCACACGGCGCTGTCGACCGATGATTCAAATACAGGCATACAAAACAGCTCCAAAAAAATGAAGGGACCCCCTCTCCTCCCCCCCCCCCCCAAAAAAAAGCAAGCAAGCGAGAAAGAAAGAACCGCGAAACGATCAGGCCCGGAAAATGGCCGGAACGTGACTGCCTCTCGGCGACACCAATTTCGGCTGCCGGCGGCCGAATTCACTTAGTTATACCACGGGAGGACTGGAGTATAGAGCAAATCGCGTCATTCCACATTATCGAACGCCCCGCAGCATGGAACCAGAGACGAAGTGCGCGCCATACTCCGCGCCCCAGCACGAAGCTGACCAGTCACAACCAACCCGGCTAGTTGTACGAGCCCTTTTACACCATGCCGCGCAGTGGTTACATATATAGCGTGCCTGCAGATGCGCAGTCGATTCTCCCCTGACCAAACACGACGGAGGGATTGTCTAAAGTGAATTTGGGATATTAAATTTCGATCGACTGCCAGTGCACGTGCGCCTTGCGCAGGCGTATATAACGCAGCCGACCGCATAAGTGTTTTTTTCGGAATACACGCGAGCAAGCGGGGATATTAAATTTTCTCCTCAAATTTCTCGGCGCGTTGCGAGAAAAAAAAAAATCGGGAGGGTTGCAACGTGATGGCGGGCGGATGGAAATGCGTGTGTTCTCGATTTACTTTTTATTTCCGTAATAATCGGATTATTATTCCTTTTTGGGGGAATCGCGTGTTCCGCACGCACATATGTATTTTCCGTACTTCGCCGCGCCAGCTTTCCCAGAGTTTCGCGGTCGATATAGCGCTAAA